GTCTTAACAATCAGAGAGAGAAACTACAGAAGAACTTGCCCTAATGGAGCAGGCAATTAAAAGTGTGTATGTGGGGGAAAGTTTGTACTTTCTGCCCTGCAAGATTCTGTTAATGTACCCTTGCAGTAAAATAGAATTAGTTCATCTAGTTGTGTTTCCTATCTGCTTTACCTGGGAGGCCTGATAATTTGCAATGGTTCTATGAGGAGGCAACAGAAAGGGGAGGAGTGAGTGTGACAAAAGGCTATAAAGTTTTCTCCCTTTGTGGCTTCCTCCGTGCCTCAGTCTTCCAGTCAGCCATAAGTTAACATGAAATACTGCAACAGTTCTTCCAAATTCTTATATGTCTTGTTTTACTAATTTACCAATTTTGTTATTTTATCAGAAAGTCCTTCCCAATATTAGTTGATCAAAGCTTGGTCGTTCTAGTCTTGAATGTTTAGCACATAATTGAAAATCAACTCACAAACATGAAGATTTCCTAATTTCAGATAATGAAACTCCTGATTTGTGGTCACTCTCCTGGTCATACATGAAAAGCAATTTTGATAATTGTATAAGACAGCATTTTTCTCAATGAGTATAATTGCCATATGGCTGCTCCTTCTTAGCAGATTGAGGAGTAATACAGGTTTGGCCAGACTGATAGAAAAGTCTCCCTTCAGGCCCACCTTAAACAGTTTAAACAAAGTTGTAAAATCCAATAATTTGATTTTTCTCTATCCACCCTCTCCCCCCCTCCCGCCCCGGCCAATGTTTCTAGTAGTTTTCTAGGAGCATGGAACATGACTGGCTGTGCAGCAATTTGTAGCAATTTGCATTTCAGTCATAACTATGGCTTTCCTGTTATACGTATCACACATATATGGACTGATGTACCTTATTCTTATCTGGGCTAACTACAATTAATAACAGTTTATAAAAGCGAATAACAGGACTTGCTTTGTATTTGGCTAGTATTTTTTAGAGATTAATAACAATACCGTAACTAAAATGTAGGTAAATTAAAGAATCCCTAGAGTTAAAAAAAATCCTGGAAACAGTGGGTGCAGGTTCCTAAAGCCCCAGGAATTGAGTTTGACTCAAGGGATTCTTTATCTCCATTTTTCCTTGTGTTGCATTTTAATTCTAAAATGTGTAAAGAAAACAAAAAGCACTTTAGACTTTGGACACGAGCCATATTTAATACCTGCTCCAGGCCCAACTCAGTTTCTGCTATGCAATTTGCAGCACATTTTGAATTATATTTTGGTAGTTCTACTACAATTGCAAAGGTGATAGAAAAAAATGTATTGGCCAGGATCACCAAACACCCTTATCTCTGAAAAAATGTCACATTGAAAGAACAAACAATAGCTTCAACGAGATAGTTTGCTTTCTAAATAAACAGTAAACATATTTTTTTCCAATAATTTCATTTCTGACTCAAATAGGAAGGGAAGTGTCATTTAGTATCATTGATCAGAACACTAAGAATCTCACGTATGTCCATTCTTGAAGAAAAGTAGAAAGTAAAAAGTGTTTGATTTGGAATATAAATTTATTTGTTTACAAAAATTATGGTATATAACTTTTTCAAAACTTTGTAATTTAGGTATCAAATTGCTTCATAAGGATATGTTAGTCTTCCAACAACAATTGTCTATCATGCAGAAATCTAATTCAAGTAGATGTTTGACTATCAATTTTGCAGTAAGTGCCATAGAAATAGCGGCTAATGATATTTCCCCTTCAAATAAATACTGATTTCTTATGAGAAAAATCAACTGCTCAGTACAAGTGTAGATATAAATTTGTTAATAAGACATTTTATCAGAGAGTTCTAAATTATTATTCTGAACTGTATGATCAGGCACTCAAGGAAATAGCCTTTTTTGTTTGGTTAAATTAGCTGTAATTTAAGATAAAGAGAGATGGATGGATGGAAAGATGGTTAGAAGGTTGGAATTAGATATTGCTACCAGTATACTTGAATCTGTTCCTGTGATTAGAGAAGCAACTATTGGGAAATAATTTTGTACACTGAAAAGCTGTCTTTGAAACAAAGACAAAAGATTAAATCCTTGCCTCTGTTGTAATGTTTATAGTATTTATGTTATTGGCAACAATCTATTAATCCCAACTTGAAAGCTCAATTCCACATTGCTGCTCTTTAAAATTCTAACAAATGAGTCTTGCTATCTTTGAAATGTTCATAGAAAAATAAAATGATTGTTTTGCACAGTCTCCGCCTCTCGCTCTCTTTAGCTATATTTAATTTTATTTGTGTGTGGGATTACTGTTGCATTTAATAACTTTTTGGGCCAAAAGATTTTACAACATATAAGATCAAGGCAAAAATATCAACTCAGTTGTTCAGAAATCCATGTTATGCAAGATGTAGAAGAATGAATTGCTGTTATCAAGAAACTTGGCTTTCTGCCTGCTACTGCCTAGTTTGTATAAGGCACATAAATTCAGTTTTCTAATCCACATTTGCCTTAATCTGCTTGCCATCATTGTTTACATCTGCAGATAATAACACTTCAGATACATAACTGTACAAAATAAATAACCATTCTGAACATTACAGATTGTTTTGACCAAAATGTTACAGTGTTGTAAACTTATGTAGCTGTCTTCTTTTATTGATTAATTTGTTTTATGATTTGTTTCTTTTTTATTTCTGTTGACACTTTGAATACTTGTCTGTACTTGGCATCAGCATCTGATTTCATATTTATACTTTCAATTACTTCCAAATGTTAAAAAGTAACCTGTACTTTCTATTTAATGAAACTATATGTTTCTGCCCTCAACATTTTATTTTCTAAAAAGATTACATTGAAATAAAAATTTTTTTTTGCTTTATTTGATTTACTGGCAAAGCAGTTGGAATGTAATGGTGTCAAAATAAATGAAAATATACATTTTTAAGTAGATGGAACATTATGATAACTATTGTATAATTAAAATTGTGGTACAGATTGCTACTGTTCAGTTTAGTTCCAGCCAGCATTCTTGCTTTCAAAATATAATTATATCTATTGTGTCTCATGCTGTCAAGCACGAACAATCAGATCCATACATGAAAAGTACAATTAGCAATCTTATTACTCAAGCCTATAATAGACGAACCCTCTCAGACTGACGGTTTGCACTTGGGTCAGACTAGATAAGGTTCAGTAGAATTCAAGAGGGTGGTGGGCAGACTTTGCCTTGCTAGAGCAAATAAGTTCTAGATATCCTTGAGAACTGTTATATCTGCCTGCATATATGCACTATCCAGTCTCAGCAGGAAGCTGTTATTTCAGAGTGGGCAGTTTCAGTTAGTTCCTTTACTTATTCTAGAAGAGGCATTGAAATAATTAATTTCCTTTTTATTCCTCTGCTTCCAAATAGTGTGAAATAAAAATATTAATGATTTCAACCTAAGTAGCATATATCAGTAAAGGTATTCTTCATATTCAAATATATTTTGCACCTGCACAATCTTCCTTCTATATTGATAAAAAAAAATCACAAGTAATATGTTACTTATACATTCTCAGGAGTCAACAGGACTCCTGAGCATGTATAAGTAACATATTTTATATTATGCATAATATGTGTGTGTGTGAAGTCCTCGATTTACAACAGTTTGTTTAGTGACCAAAGTTACAACGGTAGTGAAAAAAGTGACTTTTGATCATATTTTACATTTCTGATCATTGCAGCATCCCCATGGTCATGTGATCAAAATTCAGATACTTGGCAATTGACTCGTATTTATGATAGTTACATTGTTCCGGGTTATGTGATCACCTTTTGCAACCTTCTGACAAAGTCAATGAGGAAGCCAGATTCACTTAATGTTACCAACTTAATAACTCGAGTGATTCATTTAATGATTGTGGCAAGGAAAGTCGCAAAATGGGATAAAACTCACTTAAAAATGTCTCATTTACCAACAAAAATTTTAGGCTCAATTGTAAGTCAAGGTCTATATATAGAAGTAGAAGTAACACAAGACTAAGCATTGGTAGCAGTTAAAGAAAACCTAAATACTGTGTTTCCCTGAAAGTAAGACCTACCCCAAAAATAAGCCCCAGTTTGGGGGCGAGGCACAAACCTAAAAATCAAGCTGGGGGTGGAGCTGCCCCATACACCCCGCACCCACTTACTGTTGCAGCCAAGCCTCCCATGGATCGATACCTGCCTCGCCCAGTGTCTTTTTCACAGTGTCACCTCATGGCGGCGGCACCAACAGCCCTGCCCAACCAGCCAACTTCTTCTGCGGCCGAAGGAAATGCCTCTGCAGCTAAGAATGGAGCTGCAGCCTGCGTTTTGCCATGTCAGGCCTTTCTGCCGAGCTACGGAATCGGCTGCAGAAAGGCCTGTGACAGCAAAATACAGGCCAGAGTTCCATTCTCAGCTGCAGAGGCATTTCCTTTGGCCGCAGAAGAAGTTGGCTGGTTGGGCAGGGCTGTTGGTGCCGCCGCCATGAGGTGACACTGTGAAAAAGACACCCTCCAAAAATAAGACCTGGTGCCTTTTTTGGAGGCAAAAAAAAAAAAAAAAAAAAGACCGGGTCTTATTTTCGGGGAAACACGGTAGCATAAAAACTATATGCATTTTATTACATTGAGTGTTATTCCTTCCACTGGAATAACATAGTTTGGAATTTCATAGTTTGGAATTTCATACACAGTAAATAACACGAAGAAATTTTCAACATCAGAACAAAACTCTCTATAATTTTATTTCAAAATGAAAGACCATTGCAGCCTGAGATATACAAGAAAAAACTATTATTACTTTTTTCTAAAATTAACTTGTGTTCTGTGTTCATACCTTAAAGGGCAGTTAATTTATAGCAGTAATAATATAAATATTTTTCTTCTTCATTGAATATGAAACCTTAAAGGAATGATTTTATTTTATGTAAATTTAGTCATTAATTTGATTAATATCTATCAGTATTACCCTGAAAAGCCAAGTCATTAAGTTGGAAGTTTTTTTAATCTTATTTTTTTAACCAGAATTATGCAAATAAAGAGTTGGAAGAGCAGTTGCGGTCAGTATCAAGTGTGGATGAACTCATGACTGTGCTTTATCCAGAATATTGGAAAATGTTCAAATGCCAGCTGAGGAAAGGGGGTTGGCCACACAGGGAGCAATCCAACTTTGATGGAAGAACAGGGGATTCAAATCCAATAAAATTTGCTGCAGCACATTATAATACAGAGATCTTAAAAAGTAAGTAATGTATAGTCTACCAAGTTGTTTAAATCTGTATTTAAGAATGTATGTGTTCTTTCAAATAAGTTTTAAATTCTAAGCACTAAGAAAGTAATATATATTAATATATGATTTAACATGCTCAGAACAACACATCTGCCTTAATGACTTAAATATTAATAGTTTTTAACATAGTTTACTATGATAAAATATGTTAAAATATAAATATGTATGTTGTGAATATCTACTGTCTACTGGACTATCAATGGACTATAAGACAAGAATAATCAAAGTAGGTAAGTACAAGAAAGATGTGTAGGGAGTATCTAAGCTAAGAGAAATGGAGAAATGAAGTTAAGAACTAAAAAGAGTATGCCAGTTCCTTTTGCACACAATTGGCAAATTGTATAGTTATGAGAAATGAGAAGAATTTAGACCGGTGTCAACAAGCAATTTCTCCTTTAAAAGTTTAATAATCTTTTTGATCCAAGAGATTTAACTGCTCCAGTTTCTAATGAAGCTATCAAAAAATGAGGATTTAGGAATTGCATATCAAGTTTATGGGAACTGGAAACCCCTGATTTGGGGGTAGACTAGTTTTAGGCTTCCAAAAAGTAACAAACAAGAAATGTTTATCTGAAAATAAGCATGACTCTAAGTACTTTCATTCTGGTGCTGTTTTTGTTAACTTGATTGATTTGGGTTAGTCTTTTTTTTTTCTTTTTTTAGTCTGTGCAAAGTACATTTACATGAGGTTTTAGAACACTATTTGCAAACTTTCTAGAGCTCAAGCCAAGGAATTATGGTCATACAATCAGTATTGAACTCAATCGCTTCACTGCAATGAGCATTCATTTTCTTCCTTCCTTCCTTCCTTCCTTCCTTCCTTCCTTCCTTCCTTCCTTCCTTCCTTCCTTCCTCCCTCCCTCCCTCCCTCCCTCCCTCCCATGCAGTACATCAAATGTGTCTAAGATTGCTGTTCATTCCAAATCTACAGATTAGTTGTAACACAAAAGATAACTAAAAACCATTTCTGACAGATGACAGTCCAGTCTCTTCTTGAAAGCTTCCAGTGATGAAGCTCCCACAACATCTGAAGGCAAACTGTTCCATTGGTTGATTGTTCTCACTGTCAGAAAATTCCTCCTTATTTCTAGGTTGAATCTCTCCTTGATCAGTTTCCATCGGTTATTCCTTCTCTGGCCTTCAGGCGCTTTGGAAAATAGGTTGTCCCCCTCCTTTCTGTGAAGCTCCTCAAATATTGGAACACTACTATCATGTCTTCCCTGGTCCTTCTCTTCGCTAGACTAGCCATGCCCAGTTTCTGTAACTATTCTTCATATGTTGTAGCCTCCAGTCCCCTAATCATCTTGGTTGCTCTTCTCTGGACTTTTTCTAGAGTCTCAACATCTTTTTTATAGTATGTAGACCAAAACTGGTTGCAGTATTCTAGGTGTGGTCTTACTAAGGCTTTATAGAGTGGTATTGGTAACTCACATGGTCTTGATTGAATCCCTCTGTTAATGCTTTTTTGGTTGCCACCACACACTGTTGGCTCATATTTAATTGATTGTCCACTAAAACTCCAAGATCCCTCTCACAGTTACTGCAATTAACCCTGGTTTTACCCAATCTATATGTGTACTTTTGGTGTAAGACTTTACTTTTTTCTACATTGAATTTCATTTTGTTAGATAGGGCCCAGTGTATAAGTCTGTCAAGATCCATCTAGGGCAGGGGTAGGCGACCTTGGCTCTTTTATGACTCATGGACTTCAACTCCCAGAATTCCTGAGCCAGCTATGCTGGCTCAGGAATTCTGGGAGTTGAAGTCCATGAGTCATAAAAGAGCCAAGGTTGCCTACCCCTGATCTAGGGTGTTGGCTATTTCTGCCAGCTTAGTATCATCTGCAAATTTGATAACTTTTGCCCTCATCTGAGTTGTTTATGAAGATATGAAGAGTACTGGGCCTAAGATAAAATCTTGTGGTACCCCACTGTTTACTTCCCTCCATGTAGACGTGGTACCATTAAGGACTATTGGTTGAGTACAGTTTGTCAGCCAGTCACAAATCCATCTGATGGTGATGCTGTCTATTCCACTTTTTTCTAGCTTTCCAAGAAGTAGATTCTGGTCTACTGTACTTTGTTGAATGTCTTACTGAAGTCTAAGTATACTATGTCTGCAGCATTTTGCTGGTCTACTAATTTAGTCACTTGGTCAAAGAATGAAATAAGATTGGTTTGGCATGATCTGTTTTTAACAAGCCCATACTGGTTTCTAGTTATAATTTTATTTGTTTTTAGATGTTCATAAATCTGTTTTTTTATCATCTTTTCCAGTATCTTTCCAGGTATTGATATTAGGCTGATTGGTCTGTAGTTTCTTGGGTCTGGTTTTTTTTTTCCTTTTTTGAAGATGGGAACCACATCTTTTCCACTCCTCTGTTAGTTCCCCCGGTGCTTCAGGATATGGTACAGTGGTTCTGAGATGACATCTGCCAGCTCCTTCAGAACTCTGGGATGTAATCCATCAGGTCCCGGTGATTTATGTTCATCAAGATCAGACAGGTGTTCTCTTACCATTTTTTTTGTTTATTTTAAGCTTTATTTCTAGTCTGTCTTTTTCAGACATGTTTTTGGTAGGTTGGGCTATAATTTCTTTTTGCGTGAAGACCAATGCAAAGAATGAGTTAAGCAGCTCTGCTTTTTTTCTCTATTGCCTGCTACTTCCTTGCCATCTTCTCTCTTTAGTGGACCAACTGTTTCCTTGATTTTTTTTCTTATTATTTATATGTTGAAAGAAACTTTTTTTTAATTATCTTTGACTTTTGTTGCAAGTCTTTATTCATTCTGAGTTTTTGCTTTCCTGACTTCGTCTTTGCAGATTCTGACTATCTGCTGATATTCTGTCTTAGTTATGTGTCCCTCTTTCCATTTTCTTACTGGATGTTGACATTTTGTTGGTAGTACTGATGAAAAAACTATTTGTGCACTTAATTCCTTGACCTTCTTGCCTAGCTGTTTGTAATCACTCACTATTATTTTCAGGTCCATTTTTGTGTCATTCGTCTCTACGTGTAATAGTAGAAACGGGTAGTAATCTGTTGGATTTATTGTTTTTGTTAGGTTCTCAGCCACATCTTTGATTTTTGCTCCATGGAGACAACATACATCTCTGGATTGACTCTATAGTCTACAGATAGCTGATTTTGTTCCCTTGAGAATTGAATCTCTTATCACCAACTCCATTTTTTCCTAGGGAGTTTTGGGGTATTTTTCTATCTATCACAGAAGCACTTGATGTTGCTACTATTTTAGGGACATTTGATGATGCCATTTTTCTAGGTGTCTGCATGTCTTCTTCTAGGGACAGTCTATGAAATTGATTGCTCAGCGCCAGTGGGGCTGCATCAGAGTGGGTTGGGTTGGATAGGGGTTTTGTTCTAGGTTTGTGTTTTTCTCTATGAATGACATGTTTCCATCTCTCTTCTTCTTCTAAGGGATCAATTCTTTTAGAAGTTGTTTGATCATTATTATCTTCAATTTGGGTACATTCTTCTTGCAATGTTTGGGGTTTCTCATTTTGTAGGCTGAGTTTCAGAGTGGTTAGAATTTCCTCTAAACCAGGGATGTCAAACTCGCAACGTCACATGACGTGTCGTGACATATCGCGACTTTTTTTTCCCATTGCTGGCAATGCGGTTGGTGCGGTTTCAGCATGACGCATCCGGCCCATGGGCCGGCAGTTTGACACCCCTGCTCTAAACCTTTTACTTTTTCTTCTAATAACACAATTAGTTTACATTTGGTACATTTATAGTTTGGATCTTCTATAGTAGACATGTCAAACTCGCGATGTCACATGACGTTGCGCAATGTATCGGGACAGTTTTGCCATTGCCAGCAATGGGGTGAGTGCAGCTTCCGGATGACGCATCCGGCCTGCGGGCCAGTAGTTTGACATCCCTGTTCTATAGGCATAAGCATATACATGGAACATGTTTTGCAGATCACAATAGCATCAGTTTCTTTTCCCATGAGTGGATTAAAAAAATGAAAATGAGAATGTAGAAGGTTTTACCACAGATTTTTAAAAGAGAAAAACACAGTGATGGCGAATGTTTTAGAGACTGAGTGCCCAAAAACCGCCCCTTCCTCCCCGCCTGTCCCCGCTCCCCCGCAAGGCCACCCACAGCCTCCACGGCCCACCGCAGTAGATTGCCCAAGTGGCCCAGCGGTGCCGTGGCAGCCACGCCCTCCGCCCGTGCCCCGCAGCATCATCTACGTGTGACGTGACGCGAAGGCGGAATCTTGTCCCCGCTGCCTGGCTGCCATGTCCTTGGCTGAGCTGCTCCGTGTGGACCACGCTCAGGGGTGACCTTCCAGGGGGGCTGCTGGTGAGAAGAGAGCCGTGGGGGGAGGTGGAGCTGGGGTGACAGTGCGCGTGCCCACAGAGAGGGCTCTGAGTGCCGCCTCCAGCATGCATGCCATAGGTTCATCACCACTGATCTAACAGATCATTTAAAAATTTGGGGGAAAATGTCTAGTTTGAAAATTTAAAGTTCTAGCAGTTTATTTAAAATGTCAAATTTTAAAATTTTCAGTGTTGAGTGGGGCTTAAATACAAGGTTCTTTCTTATCCTGTCCTGGTATGTTCTATAATTGTCCCTTTCCTCCCTGCCTTTTTGTGAGCTTTATTTATCCCTTTCTTTTCTACCTTTATATGTGAACAAACCATTCACTGATGCAAATCTTCCATAAGAAGGGCAAAATATTTGGGTAAAATAATTTTAGGAATTGTTATAAGCATTTTTAACTCTATGTCTATAAATAATTAGATGAAACAGACTTTATCCTGCAGATACTGTCACTGGTATCTTGCTTAACTTGTTCCATTCTCTGAAACATGTCTGCCTAAATAGGACTAAATATGGATTTCACCATGAATTATTTTATAATCAAAGATTGGTTATGAGTCTGATTTAAATTATTAAAAAGAGCTATCTTATAAACTGTAAGCTTCTAACTTGGCAGGTATTGATAATGAGTGGAGAAAAACTCAATGCATGCCACGTGAGGTATGTGTAGATGTGGGAAAAGAATCTGGAGCAACAACAAACATCTTCTTTAAACCTCCATGTGTGTCCGTCTACAGATGTGGAGGTTGCTGCAATAGTGAAGGGCTGCAGTGTATGAATATCAGTGCAAGTTACGTCAGCAAAACGGTAAGTTGTTTTGACTGCATAATATTTAGATCTCTACTTACATACATTTAAAGTGAATGCAATATTTTAAAATAAAATAGTAACAAAGTTTCTCTAGAACACAAAATGTCTTGTGTTAATAGCACAATAGGCAATAATCAATTGCATAAATGGTGGAAATAGGAAAATATAATGATTAAATATAGAATATGAAAGGATAGAATGGACATCCTGTGGCCCTAGAGCAGCGGTTCTCAAGCTATGGGTCGTGACCCCATTTAGGGTCGATCGACCATTTCACGGGGGTTGCCAAGCAAGGCTGTCCGCCATTTTTTTCCCTCTTTTCCGGCGGGTGCCTTACCTCCCTTGAGCTGGGCCAGCTGGTGGTCGGCCTGCTCCGTCTCTGCCGCTTGCCAGCTACACCTTGGCCGGCGCAAGGGGCAGAACCACGCATGCGCGGCGCTCCCGGGCAGGGAAAGTCCTCGACTTACGACCGGTTGGGTAGTCCTTGACTTACGACCGGTTTAGTCCTTGACTTACGACCGGTTTAGTCCTCGACTTACGACCGGTTGGGGGTCGCGGCATTAAAAAGGTTGAGAACCACTGCCCTAGAGTCTCATGGAGCTTATGAACTCATTTTAGGCCTTATCAGTAATCAGTGACTGATCGTTTCTGCTATTTAAATCCTAGGATTGATTTAACATCTTTTTAAAAACCACACACAAACAAAAATATGCCATTAGTGATGAGAGGAATAATTGTTCTTTTGCCTTTAAGAAGAATGACTCTCTAAGAAAGAGTGCATTCCAAAAATATAAATTATGAATAATGTTTACATGCATAGAAATAGCTTTTCCCTTTATAATAACCCTAATTTAACCCTGATACAGTGAATTACATAGAACAATTTCATTCTGTTGTTGCCTCAGTTATGGAAACAATTTACAGCTCCACCTGTTAATTTACCTGGGATATAATGTTGTCTGCAGCCAGTATTTGAGATGCCAAGGCATATGTCAATAATGACCTTCATGCTTGCTTTCCTGTACATCTAATTCAATTGTTTCTATATATTTTGATTGGTTTAGTATTTTTTAGTGGCTTCTATATGGAAACCACATAGAACCAGACATGTAGAAATATTCTCTTCTGTTTACATATGATTTGAGTTGCACAAGATTTCTTCACTACTCATAGTCCCTCAGGTAGGCTGCTGCTCAATCTTAAAGCAGGTAGAAAATTTGTCTTTTGTTGCAATTTGCTTTCTTTTGGCACAAATAATTGAGTCATGCACAAAAACAAATTCAGCATTCTTTCTATCAGGACAAACCATTCTATTGCTCCTGGAATTTCATTCTTTCTGAGCAGACAGTGATAGCAGAGAGAATCATAGCATCTCTTTCAGAAGGCTTTTCCCCTATTTTCTAATAGACTTGTGATTCTAGAAACCTCAGAATTACTAGTTCATGTGGATGCAATAACAGATGATGGAGAATATTTTCATTGTGGTGCACATTATAAGAAGACAGGAAAGTATATATAAAGTACCCCATTTCAAAGAAACATATAATTAGAAATTTGAGATCATACTATGATTTAAATATCAGAGCATTTATTTATTGGCAAACTATAACATGATTTGGAGAAAAATCTAGGCAAAGCAGGTAGCTTTAATATAGTGTATTATATCAAGAAAAAGTATCTTCAGTTTTTAAAATGTTGCCCATATTTTACCACATATCAAACAAAGAAAGAAAATAGTATCAAATGAAACAACACACCTCAATCAGTAGTATATAACTAGTTACATTTATTTATCTGCTTGATTTGGACCTTGTCTTCTTTTTGTAACATTGGAATGATTTACATGCAGTCTTCCTACAATTTTTAATGGTAATACCTCATATGCCACACATCACTTAATGATGTAATAATGGGGAGGGGGCTTTAAGCTAGTCAATGCCTTAAAACACCCTGCTTCTGAAGTTATGTCTTACTAGTTGCTGGTTTCTCATGAAGATTGCATTATTTAATCAGGCTTTTGATGGGTGATTTTCATAGTAATAATATTCTTTACTAAGATCATAAACAATTGCCCTGATTTGAAAATAACTTATTTTCAGATATTGGCTACTGACCATTATCCTGAAAGCCTCTTCCCCCCCCTCTCTCTCTCTCACACACACACACACATAGATGAGTTCATTACATATCAATGAAATAAAGTTTTCATTCATTGTAACAGGAGCCCTGTTGTGTTGAGAGAGAGTGATTGGCCCAAAGTCACCCAGACGGCTTTCATGCCAAAGGAGAGACTAGAACTCATGGTTTCCTGATTTCTAGACTAGAACCTTAACCACCACAGCATTTATTTAGTATTTGGGTTCCTTTTATTTTATAGAAGAAACTAAGGAAATGTTTTCTTACTCCTCTTTCTGACAGCTGTGTTAAGAAAAGGGAACAGTTGTAGCACGCATAGCACTCAAGTTTCTAAGTCAGAGATAAGCAATCCTTTGGCTGATGTATTAGAAAGGAATTGCATTGAGTGATACAAGCTGCTAGAACTATTGCTTTACAACAGAAATGAACTTTCAATATAGATACATTTCATCATGTGCCAATTAGAGACCAAATATGATAAAAATGACTTATAATATGCAAGAGACCACACCTTAGTTTCTATTATCAATTTTATCTGTAGTATAGTTATGTATGGAGCATACAGTATTTCATGTGCAGTGTGCATTTTTCAGTATTGCTCCCCAAAATTACTTCAGTGTATATGTAGGTTTCTTCTTGACCCCAAATTGCATAAAGGAATAAAACTTAGACTCCTAATACATTTCATGTTTTTGAATCTAATAGCTGATAATGTTTCAAGGTCAAAGAAAATCTGATAAATTCTACCTTATTTATTGATTTATTTAGAAATAGCGATCACTTCATTTTAGGTACTTGTTACATGAATAAAAATAAACATTTGAGGACTAAGTACATTAATTATTTATCATATACCTACTATTTATTTAAAACCTTTAGAAGGCTGCCTTGAGAAGACTAGGTCTCTTTGTTATAAGCTGTTTAGACTAATTTTACAGGTATTTTAAATACGCACATAAATGTATAGTGCTATTTTTCTGCCCATTTTCAAAACCCTTAGTCACAAAGTCTTGTGTTATCTCAATCATGGAATTTACACCTCTCGCTCACAATATATTGAGCTAACTGCTTAAAAGAAAGAAGTATAAATTTTGTGGAAGGGAAAAGACTTTAATTGATGAAGCCATTTAGGTTTGAACATTTTAACTGATGGAAAAGCTTTGTGAAGGAAAAAGGAGGAAAAGAAAACATAACAGTATAGTCTTGATTTACATTACTTTTTCTTTTTCTGCTCTTTGTAGTTGTTCGAAATAACTGTGCCCCTCTCTCATGGTCCCAAACCTGTAACAATCAGTTTTGCCAATCATACTTCCTGCCGATGCATGTCCAAACTAGATGTCTACAGACAAGTTCATTCAATTATTCGACGCTCCTTGCCAGTGATACAAGCACAGTAAGAAATTGCATATTTCTTTCTATATTGTTAAAAAACTATTTATAAATAAAATATCAATTTTCTTAGTGTGTTCTAAAGATCAAAACCAGGATATGTAAATATATGTTTATTCTTAAAATATATTGGGAGCCATGATCTAGTACGTATTATTGAAGTTTTGTTCTAGCTTAGAAAATAGTTTTCAACAAAAGGTACTATCAGGCACAAGGAACCAGGCCTACATCATGAGTTGATCAAAGTTACTTCTTTATTGTTGCAATGCCTATTTACAAGGATCTCACCAGACTGATTGTATTCTTGATTGTATTGTATTGTATTGACTTAAAAATAGTCAAACAGAAATAGAATAACAAAGTTAGAAGGGAACTTGCAAGTCTTCTAATCCAACCCCCTGCTCGAGCCGTATACTTATTTAAGATAAATGGCTATCCAGTCTCTTCTTAAAGGCCTCCAGCATTGGGGCACCCACAACATCTGAAGACAAACTAATCCATTGGTTGATTGACCTCAGGGTTCTGCTGCAAATAAGGCTTCAGGACTCTGGGATAGGTAAGGCCTGCACCACTTTCTGCTGTGCAGAGACTCTCTCTTCACATCACTCTCCTCTCTAGTTGGAGATTCCAACTAGAATCTCCACATGTACATACACTAAAAGATGTTATTTGTTTTCTGAAACACCTGTGTTACATATGTACTATCACTTGTCTTAAATTTGCTTTGAAATATATCGATATTATATTTTGTCCTTAGGTGTCAAATAACAAATAAAACATGTCCAAAAAGTCTTATTTGGAATAATCATTTATGCAGATGTCTGGCACAACATGACTTCAGTTTCTCCTCCTATCCACCAGATACTGGTAAGAAATATGGGATAAAAGATTACTGTCAGTTATTTAGTTTAATTTATAGAAAAGAAAAAATGCCCACAAGATCTTTGTACAGTTTTATAGTTCATTTTTATGGAACAGTGTATTCATATTTGTTCACTCCATATCATGTAGTTATAAGTGCAATGATATAGAAATAAATAGGAGAAATGAATAATTTCCACTAGTTACAAAAATTAGCAGATACTTGTTTTACTCTTTTGCAATGCCTGAAGCATATTTTTCTTATTTCAAATGCTCAGATACTGCTGAAGGATACCATGATATCTGTGGGTCTAACAAGGAACTTGATGAAGAAACCTGTCAGTGTGTCTGCAAAGGAGGAGTGACACCTTCTAGCTGTGGAATTCATAAAGAACTAGACAGAACATCATGTCAATGTACATGTAAAAATAAACTGCTTCCTAGCTCTTGTGGACTGAACAAAGAGTTTGATGAAGAAAAGTGCCAATGTGTGTGTAAAAGAACATGCCCTAAACACCAGCCATTAAATCCTACAAAATGTATTTGTGAATGTGTAGAATCACCAAACAAATGCTTCTTGAAAGGAGAAAGATTTCATCACCAAACATGCAGGTAAGCAATATAACTGGAAAAATAACAGATTTTTATAGCTTTGTAACTTTTGTTAGATACATAATTCTTCTTGAGTTTATAAATGACAGTGGGTATAGTTTCTTGCATTTTCTTATATTTTCTAAGCTTGCTACTCTTCAAATTTCTGACAGGTAACAGATGATTGAGGACCAGTTTGGTATACTGGTTAAGGCATCAGGCTGGAATCTGGTAGACTGTGAGTTCTAAACTCACATTGGGCACAAACCAGCTGGGTGATCTTGGGTCAGACACTTTTAGCCTTACGGAGCAAGCAATGGCAAACCACTTTTGAGAAACCTTGCCAAGAAAACCTCAGGCATTATTCCAGGCAGTTGCCAGGAGTCATACTGATTCAAAGGATATATATATCCTCATGCTTATCATAGTGAAAAGCAGGCAAACCATGTCACTAGTCCAGAATGAAACATGTCATACAGTATGTAAATGGTTAAAGAAAAAGAGATGATGTGTTCATTGGTTATATATTATTTGTCAATATTTATGATCATATTCAGGTTATTTTATCAGAAGGTGGACTTGAAAGTAAATGTAGGATAAAATGTAGGATGTTTACTACGAAGTAAACATAGGATAAGTTCTATATAGGTTTTCAATATGATAATATACTTACTATGTATAAATGTTATCAAGTGATAGGCAAGTATGGATGAATTATGCCAATTGATAAGTGGAAAATATATGCTTATTAAATACTTAATAACAAAAAATAACTTACCTAAAGATAAGTTTCAAAATGAAGAAAGCTTAAAGGGAGAACACCAATCCTTATATGGTGCTTACGGATAAGATGAAACTGCAGATTAAAAGTCTTGGCTGAACCATTAATCCATCATGTTTTATTTTTTTTCCATTTAACGTGACCTTTAATATGCACTCCAAGATTGTATCTATGCCAGATAGTTTTGTTATAAATTTCCAACAGGCATGATGTAACTTGAGATTCAGAATTGTGTATAACATATAAATTCGTCAAGCTAGTGTGGCAGGTTATACAGAAAATTTTGCACAAGATGTGGCAGGCCAAGCCAGGATGATTACAGCTCATGTGTCTTTGCCATTCTTTGGTGATTTCCTCATAACACTGTCGATTTGTTGAAAACAAATTGGCTCTAATATAACTTTAATCCTGCTACAAACATGGAACACCAATGTGTTTGGCAGAACACAATTTTCTTTGTTGGGGGAGGGGTCATGCTCAGCCATCATTAAATGCCTATAAAAATCTTAGCAAACATACGTTTTTGTGAATAATGTGATATTTTAAATCAAACTTATTTGGGTAGCTCCTAAAGTGTGTTTGTTGCTTCAAGACTGTTTGCTTTATGTAATTACTTTTATTGAAAAAAATTCTTATGAGCTTGATGCTCTTTATCAAACTCGTAAGAAGTAATTTGTAAACTAACAGTAATTCAGTAATGTTGTATTCTTCTTCAATGTTTGCCTTATACTATTTTATCTTACTCTTTTATCTTTTATCTTTACTAGATTTTATTCTACAAGTAGTTCTCGACTCATGACCACAATTGAGCCCAAAATTTATTTTGCTAAGTGAGACATTTGTTAATTGAGTTTTGTCCCATTTTACAATTTTTCTTGTCATGGTTGTTAAGTGAATCACTACAGCTGTTAAGTTAGTAACAATGGTTGTTAAGTGAATCTGGCTTCCACATTCATTTTGCTTGTCAGAAGGTCACAAAAGATGATCACAGGACCCCAGGACATTGCAACTGTCACAAATATGAGTCAGTTGCCAAGCATCTGAATTGTGATCATGTGATGATGGCAATGCTGCAATGGTTGTACTGTAAGTGTGAGAAACAGTCATAAGTCACTTTTTTCAGTCCCATCGTAACTTTGAACAGTCAATAAATGAATTGTTGTAAATCGAGGACAACCTGTATTTTAATCTCTCACTTCACTGTACCTTGCCTCATTTTATTGTGGCTGATGTTTCATATTTTATATGGTCAATTGACTAATCAATGAAGTATATCATGTCATATTGATACTCTTTTATATACTTTGATGCTGAAAAAAGATCCAAACACCAAATCAAAATGACTTTTTAAAGAGGCGCAATACCTCATTTCGTGTAGAACTATAATTGTTATATTAGCATTGTCCAACCCTCTTCTAGCATCTGTCCAGATACCTATAAGGTACAGCTATATATGTTATATAAAGCCAAAAACTTGGGAACATTCTAAAACATTTAATGAATCTGATAAGTCATAAGAAAAATAATAATAATGTAATGTATTTCCACATACTATATCTGTAGTAGGCCTGTATAGGATTCTAAACAATCCAGAATTGCTTTAAATCTCATGCAGGTCCAGCACTTCTCTGCTATTCATTAATTTTCCAAAGCAGTCTTTAAAAAAGTCAGGCTTCTTACATGAATACAGAGAGAGACTTTTCACTTATACAAGGCCAAAAACAGTTCTTCTGAATCATTTTCCATGTATGTTCAGCTGAGCAAATTATTGGCTGAGCAAATCCTCATGAACAGCACTTGCAAAAGTAAGTTTTCATGTTTTAAACTTATAGTCATGATATTGAAAGTTGATTATAAAAGTGCCTATTTTATAGGTATGTATTCATAAATCTCATAATTCATAATTTTTTAAGAAGAGATCTGATTGTGCTGCCATTTCTTCTTCTTTTTTCTTCGGCAACTGCTTTTGCATATAGTTTAGAATATACAGTAGATTCTGCCAAGTTTCTGTTGCAGATTATAAACTGTAGAAGTTTCCTCTTTGTTATTAAGTCTTAGAGAATTTGTCTCATTTTTGCTGGGGTTTATTTCCATGGCTCCAATTACTCATTATATCTAGATCTGTAAAATTCTACAATCAATAATTTTGCAGCACTTTATAAATAGGCAAGGGAAATGCAGTAAGAGTTTACAATTCTTATTGCTTAGGTCAGAATTGGAAAAAAAATGTAATGGCTACTTTAAATTTATGATATTTCTATGTTAAAGACACATTTCATATGTGAATAGCTGTATTAGCTCACATGGTAACTCTGCAAACATTTGACCAGCTGAATGTTGTCAAGAAGTTAGAGGTTACCATTACTTCCTAGGAAATGTTTTACATATACATGGAAGTATAATAAGTTATATTTAAAATGTCATTTAAAAGGAATTTGCTAAGTTGCATAAATTAATAATGCATTGTAATTCATCATATAATTCTATAATAAACATCAAAAATATATTAATGCTTTAGAAAATTAGGGGATAGGGTGAAACACATAGTACTGTGTGGCACATCTAAAATTTGTCAATAAAAATTAATGCACAATTAGAAGCATAGATAATGGAATCTGAACCACTTAAAATGTGAAAGATCCCCTTTGATGCAAAATATCTCATTATATGTATAAAACAATTGTTGTGAGCACAAAAAGTAACGTTTCAATCATTTCAGGTTAAAATAAATGTTTTGCACTTGAAATAGTATCTTAAATCAAAGTGGGATGTTTCAAATAGGAAGTAGTTAAAAATCATAATATTTTGCAATGTACATGCACAAGTAACATTAATTGTCCTGAAGGAAAACATGTGGTTTTGTGGTTCAAGAGAAGGACATACCTGCCCTGGATCTTATATTCCGAGAATAAGGTTTCCTTCTGCAGTATCTTTGTTGCTTGAGATATGGGTTATAGTATTTGCTACTGGAGTTAAATCCCAATTCTGTGATAAGATGCAGAAGCCATTCTGAATTAAGCTTAATGAGGCAGGGAAAATTCAGATGAACTTGGAATAGAAGGAGGAATAGCAACTTTTTTTTCTGGTCCACCATGATATGAAAGTAATATTTATTTACAAACTGGAAGATGTAAATGAGTTATTAATTATAATCCATGCCCATTATAATACTATGCTGTATAAAAATAGAACAAAATTAAAAGAATTTAAACTATAGTTATGTTGAAACTTGAAGCATATACTTCTCACTCTTGGTTCACTGCCAATGTTTAAAACACCCAAAGACTATACTTTGTCTACATTATACACCAGAGGCTTTTTGCCTGTCAGTGTGAGGTTATGTTAGGTCAACGTGGTTTAAAATCAGCCTTACAAAATTATAATGCTGTGACATACATGTTTATAGCTTTTTTTTAATCATTGTAGAAGCAGATTATCTACCAATGTAAAATATTTATCTTGTAAGCATGAATTATTGGCTAGTAAAATATATTATTACTTTCTAGACCAAAAGTAATAAATGTATATAGTAACACTATAAATTACCACTATCTTTTTATATCTATTTCAGATTGTCCTGTATATAAGCTTTGAACATGCACATTGTTCTTCTAATGTAACAAAAAAAAATCTGTGTGAGCAAACTATATATATATTTAGCATGGCTTCTGTCCAGATATTGTAATTAGATATTTCCATGAAAATAAAATAATTCAGTTTGGTAGGATAGCTCATTCTCTCTAGGAATGAAATCTTTGGACTAATAGATCCTGAAAGTAAAAGCTCATTAAAATGAAAACAGATATGAATATTAGCTGTATACATTTATTTTAAAAATATTTATTAACGTTCATTTTGTATAATCTGATATAAATATTTATGATTGGTAGTATTAGTAGTGTACACTAATAATCACTTTGGAAAGATCTTATATTGCCCAGTTATTAGAAATGGTGAGTTACTGATGGCCTCTACTTTTGTCCCCAAATACATGTAATGTTTCTGTGGCTTTGGTCAACACTCGGCAATGTTCCCATCTTCTGCTCCTTGGGGAAAGAGATGTTAGCAAGGTTTTTTTTTTTTTTAGCTACCATAGCTTCCTATGATCCAGCTCCTTTCTTACACCCTTACTACAGGTAGTCCTTGGCTTATGATCACAACTGAGCAAGGCAGTTGTTAAGTGAGTTCTGCCCAATTTTGCCTTTTTGCCATGGTTGTTAAACAAATCGTGGCAGTTGTTAAGTGAATACAGCTTTCTCTATTGAAGTTGCTTTTCAGAAACAATGTGGGGAGGTTGCAGATGGCGACCATATGAGTCCAGGATGCTGCAACATGCCCGTTGCCAAGTGCCTGAATTTTTATCATGTGACCATAGGATGCTGCAAGTTGTAAATGCAAGAACTGGACATATGTCACTTTTTTAGTGCCATTGTAACTTTGAATGGCCAATAAATAAATGGTTGTAAATCAAGGATTTCCTGTATTTCTGTTGTTTTATGGCAAGAAGAAATTTTTTTAAAAAATAAATGATTGGATTGTTAATATATAGTATTTTATACAAATGACTACATGACTACCTGTCATATAGTTTAAGTTCGGCATTGCTAAAATTGGATTGCTTCGTTTTGTCTTAAATACATGACAGTCCAATTTAATACGGGAGGATTTGATTGATTTCCCAACTTTTCATAAATTAGAGTAAAAATACTAAGAATTTATGTATATAACTGTGCTCTTAAATGAAAGCCATAAGCATAACAATAAATATTAATAAATTATCTCCCATATATGTTAATGTGTACTGTGACTGGATCTCACAATATATGTAACGTTGCTGAATTAATACATTTGCACAGTACATTGAATCATATACTGACCAAACACTCTGTATTTGTGTAAGATGCCTATCCATTAAAAACTATCCAAGATTAAAATTATCTGAGTTTGGCATGTAGGTCTTAAGCTTTTAATTGCCTTGGTAAACCTCTGTGTGAATCTAGCTCCTGGGTGACTGAAAGGGTCCTTTCCTTTCAAGTAACTTAACTTATAGGATTGCTGTGCCTTGGAAAAAATCAAATTATAAGTGAAGTGTCTATAAAAATAACAGCTCTAGTTATAAATAATTGTGGGATGCAATAATGTCTTTGGAATGTATTCTGCTTGTGAGAAATAAAAGAGAGAATCTGCAAACCAGATAACAAATCCATTGAATATTGTGTCCTGTTTTCTGCAGTGGCCAGTCAAGAGGCACAAGCAGGTATGAAAGCAGTGTCGCCATCCAGCACAGTTGCCAGAACAACTGGTGTTCAATGTCATGCTGCCACTGAGCATGAGTTTGCTATATAGATCAGTGTATAGTCCCTGTTTCCTCACCCTTTAGCAAGAATGCTGATCTAGGAATATTGCTAAACACTTCCTGATGGCTATTATTGTGATTATGACATAATGGGTGTCAATATCGATCACTAATACAGAATTAAAACAGTAAATAACTTTGGGTTGTATGCAAAATTGCAAAGGCCAATGTGCACTCCCAAGTACAAAGAAAATAAATAAAAACCTATCCCTGAAAACAAAATGAATTGAAACCTACAAGTCACTTTACCCTATTTTCAATAGTTCTGTCCATTTTTTAAATGCATGTAACTTGTATTATATCTTTTTTCAATATACCTTTTTCCCCATTTACTCTCAGTTGCTACAGACGACCATGTACAGTTCGAAAGAAACGCTGTGATTCTGGATTCTATTATAGTGAAGAAGTTTGTCGCTGTGTACCCACATACTGGAAACTACCACTTATCAATTAGAAAAGACAGTTCATCTGATGTACATTTTTTCCTGTTTCTACTTTTTAAAATACTGGACTGCTAACGTATGGATTTACAATGCAGAAGAGACGTAACGTTATTGGAAACAGACACATTTTTACTCTGAGACACATGGGAAGTAATTTTTTTTTTAAAAAACTGGGATTTTCTTCATGGAGATTATAATTTGTCATTGATGAAGCAGACTAAATTTTCTTCATTGTGATTTTTTTAAAAAAGATAATGATTACATAATTTATTTTCTTTTAAAGATACTGTATGCAATCCTTTTTTATACCAGAAACAATTTTTAAATTTCACTGTGATCAATATTTTTATATCTTGCAAAACATGTTTTAAATAAAACTGAAGTGTATTATATGTTGTTTGAGTAAATGCAGCATTCTGTCCTGTTAATATGTTTAAATGTAATTGATATAACAGAAAAACATAGTTGGAAGGAATCTTGGAAGTCAGAGATCCTAAACCATTTCAGACAAGTGGTTAAAAACCTCCAGTGATGGGGCATCCACAACTTCTGATAGCACGCCATTCCACTGATTAATTGTTCTATCTTTCAGGAAATGTCTCCTTATTTCTAAGTTGGTTGTCTCCTTGATTAGTTTCCATCCATTGCGTTTTGTTCTGCCTTCAGGTGCTTTGGAGAATAGATTGACACACACACCCTTTCTTTGTGGCAGTTCCTCAAATATTCAAAAACTGCTGTCATGTCACCCCAGTCCTTCTTTTCATTAAACTAGATATACCCATTATCTACAACTGTTCTTCATATGTTTTAGCCTCCAGTTCCCTAATCAACTTTGTTTCTTTTCTCTGCACTCTTTCTAGAGTCTCAACATCTTTTTAAATATTGTAGCAACTAAACCTATAAGTGAATACATGACACTAAGTTCTTCTCTAAGATTCCTGTTTAGATTTCCTATGCAGTAAAGTGAGTGATAAGTAAAATAAGAACAGTGGGGGCCCAAGTCTGCACTTCTGATATATTACCAACATAACTGAAATCAGAATTTTGCCTACTGAAGGAGCTCTCCAGGTGTGCAACAACAGTTTGTGCTAAAAAAAAAAATCTGCCAATGAGATTGCACATGATTATCATTAATAGTTAATAGTTAGTTACCACCTTTAAAGCGCTTCATGGCATAGGACCCGGTTATCTCCGAGACCGCCTTCTGCCGCAGATCCCCTCCCTCAGACCGGTACGCTCCCACAGAGTGGGCCTCCTCAGGGTGCCGTCGGCCAAGCAATGTCGGCTGGCGACCCCCAGGGGGAGGGCCTTG